ATTCCATTTCAAGGGGAGCGCTAAGCGAACTTTTAAGAAGGTGCCTAAGTCAAAATGTATCAAACACCTTTCCAGCAGCCGATGCCCATGTACTATTCTCGACTACTCCCATCCCAAACGAAAAGCGCAAGGACAACCTGCCAGCACAGACCACCGTGGTGGGCATTTACCTGATCCTGTGGGGCAAAATATACTGGTTGTATGAGCCGACGTTTGTCCAAAAGAGTAAGCGAACACCTTCCAGTATTGTTAGGAAAAAAATAAGTGAAGAACTTAAAAAGCTTTATTCTCGCGTATACGGTAAGCTCCGATCACCGCGTAGATGCCAGAGAGGGCTTTCGGATGCTTTACAAGTTCTCCTCAAGCTATTTACATTTATTTGAACATCGTCTGTTATCTATTTCATAAAGGTGCCATAGTTGCCTTGGCCGAAAGCCATCAATTCAGCCGACCGCAGCTAATTATATTTGCCGCTGAAGCTGATGTGATTATTGAACCCCGATTTTCTCATACTCCACCCTGACAATCGTACGATTTTTTATTGAGCCGCATATTTTATTTAGTTACATAATAATATAAACGTAAAGGCCTGAGAAGAATTGATCGAAAGTAAAGGTATGCTCGTCAAATTGTATTTTGAGTTTTTCAGTGGGGATTTTTCTAAAAAACACTAAGAACTATCTTATCAACTAACTTTCAATTAAATTTAGGGGAACTTGATTAAATATTCCTGGCAGTTTTAAGGACGCGCTGGAGTTAGCTTACAACTTTTAAATTATATACTGGGAGATGCCATGCCTGTTTTTGTTTACTTTCCCGAACTGTGCTCATTACAAATATGCAAATGATGCTGCAATTATATCTTTACGCTCTGAAATGTAGACCGCTATGAAATTTTTCCCCCAGATTAGTCAATAAAAATTCCAAAACTTGCTCGTTTGTGACGTACGTAAAATCCGATTCTAAGAAACAACGCTGAATCAAACGTCATCTAATTCTTGCTTTCTCGGAATGTACGGTTATTACGTCCGAGCCAGCTTTAATTTAAGCGTTGACCGAAAAGTGTGTATAACTGTAGTAAGGGAGGGCAAAATCTACTTGTCAGTTTTGGTTAAAGCATTTACGTGATAATAAGCAATTCTGCATGCCGCTATAAAGAGCCGAGTCCACATATTATGGAATACTATGCTTTTCCACACATGCCTGAAAGCTGCATAATTTATTTCCGGGGAGTATGGGCATTATTGCCTGTAATTAGTCAAGTTGAATAGTATTAGTTAGGAACATGCACATAGTTCTGTCTTCTACGGGATACCATATTCATTTCTTTGTCATGGGCGATTACAGGCGACGTTCAAGCCTACCTGCAATAAAAGACCAAGAACTAGCAGCTATCACAACGGACATAGATGGCGTGAAAGCTGAACTGGAGGAATTGGAGAGGAAACAGCGCCGTCGAATGGCTGCCCTTCAGAAAGCTGAAGAGGAGCAGCGACAAAGAGAAGTGGCTGAACGCGAAGAACAGGTGGAAAGAGAACGTCAAGCGCGCCAGGAGCAAGAGAAGTTAGTTTTTATTTATTAAGACATTTATGCCTACTGTTATGATATACGTAGTACTACCTGAAGGTGCAAAATTATCAGTGGGTTTGTCGGGCGCTAGCTATTTATCAAACTTTTCAACTAATCATCTTAAAGGCGATTAACATTGCTTGTTCACTTGAGGGAGCGATTAACTTTTACGGACTGTCTCTCCCTGTTCCAAATGACGCAGAATCAGCACAGCCAAAGAACCTCTCGCAGTGAGCCAGCCTGGCCCTGGTTTAGATCAGTAGCTATGCAGCACAGCCCCTTTTGGGACACAGTCAGGGCTTAAAATGGACGTTTTTAGAGTTTCGCTCTATGCATGAGCCTGATCCAGGAGAAAGGTCTAGTTATAGCCTAAAGTGCATCCAACACAAATAATGCATCAGTTTTTCTGAACTTTATTAATTTCCGTCAATCCTTCTTGTCTATGTAGTATGGGTACGAACTCGTGCAGCATGCCGAAGTTTGTGAAATATTGATAACTACTCGCAAACCGGCATTAACGCATGTACGAAAACTTAGAAGTAAGAATGATCAAAGTTAGGCAAATTTGTTGCTTAAAGGAATAGGAGAAACACTAATTGTTTGTTAATAAAAACGAAATTTTCTTGATAATCCCCAGGTTCCGTAGATCCAAAAACAACTATAAATTAGAATAACAAATTAAAATCTTTTTTAATTTCAATGAGTTAACCCACCACTTTATTTCTATAAAAGGAAAATTTTCTAATTCAGCATGTTTTAATCATGTTGTTGTTATTTACTTAAGATTACTTACAGATAGACCTTTAAATGCCGATAAATTTTCCAGCTTTTTCAGTGTCTTCAGGATTTCGTTCGTTAATCCGCGTTCCCTCTGACGTTTTTACCAAAACCTTTAGAATAAGATATCGATGAAAAGAGTTTACCAAAAAATGAGTTTTTGGATATTAGTTCGTACGAAGATGGTCATGTGGGCTATATTTAAAACTTTATTTAAAAAGCAAAACACATTGTCGAGCAAAAAGAACGTCCGTACCAAAAGTCACTTTTCTTTTTATATTGGATTATTTTCCGCCTAGCGGATTACGTTCAGGCTCTGTTCTTAGCTTGCGAATGAAAAAGAGAGTGACCATATATATAGCAAGATTTTGACATAGTTATTATTCTTCTGTCTGTCCGTTTCTAAATTACGCATAAGCGGGAAATATAGTGTAAAATAATTATATATCTACATGAGTTAGATTTAATAAGATTGGGTTTTACCGAAATATTCGCGATCATATATGACCAGCTTTGCTAACTTCCTTCTTAAACTTGATGCGGTAAAACAAAATGCGCTCAAATCTTTTTCACTGCATTTTTGCCAAAAACTTCACGCTTTAACAAAAAATGATTTTTAAAACTGAAATTTGTCCGTGTATCTGCAAATAAATACGATTCCTTAAAATGGCTTCAGTTACGTTTGAGCAACTTCGGACTAAATTTTCCGGTTCTGGAAGGGATATGTTTTAAACTTCCCTTCTTATTTAGGAATGCTTCCATCGCACAATGCATATTAATAAAAAGTTTGATTATTTCGTACTTAATAGCATAGGAAATTCCTGCGATATGAGACAACTCCCAATTTTGTCAAAATTAATGTCCAGTACCCTTAATAAACCTAACTAAAGGGGCGATTTTCCTACCTAAAGGGCTTTACCAGGATTAAGTCCACTCAGTAGATCAAAATTACGTGGCTAAATATGGTCTCAACTACCAAGTCAAATTTCGTCATGAAAGTTGCATGACTTCATGAACATACTGTTCTTATCACACGCTCATTTCTAATCCCTTCAAGAAGAGCAATAGGTTTGCAATCACAGCTGGAGAAGGCGACCGCGGCACTGGAGAAGGCAAAAAAAGACCTAGAGGAGGCTCGTGCCGAGTGGGCCGCACTGATGGCTGAGAAGGAGAT